TAGAGGAGAAAAGACTAGATTTTTGAGCCAATCAACTGAGCTGTAAATGTCATGTGACTCATCAGTCTGGAGACATGGGAAGTGACGTCATGGCAACACTGACTGGTCGTGATGTTAAAGGCAAATATGAGAGATATATATTTTTTTAAATGTAAGGAGACAGCTGGAGAAGAGCGGAGGACGAGTGTGTGTCCGATACAGTCCGGTCCGTCACTTACCATAAATTCACTTCTGATCTGATCCAATCTGAGACCGGCACAGACTGAGTTTACTCTCAATGACTTTGTGAAAGTGAAATATTATATTTGTGAAGTATTTTTAGATGTCTAGACTAGATCTACAGTCAATTTAAATGTGACATGATCCTCCAGGACTGTCAGACTATCACCGTTCACTGGCTTCACATGGGCTGTAGGACAGAAGATTAACCAGTGAGATCTCTGTAATCTCTGTAAATGATATTAATGAACGGCTGATTGACTTTAGCCTGTAATCTCACACGTGTTCCTCCGAGAGTTATAAAAGAGATCTCAACAATGTCTCAAATTGTGCTCATATTTGCCAAGATATCAATCAGAAGTCAACATGAGCAAACATTTTTTAACATTTTTAACATATTATAGGTCCACATTAGTTTTAAAGCTCAACTATTACTTTCTACAATAGTCTCTTTTATTTTATTATACTGTATATATTTGTATTTTTTTGTATTTGTTTTTAATAAAAAAGTTTAATGTATTAAAAAATACTATATTTTTTATTTTATTTGTATTTTATTTATTTTATTTGTATTTTTTTTACTTTTTTATTTTTTATTTTATTTATTTTATATTTATTGTATTTTTTATAATAATTGTATATGATTTTAATTTAATTTATAAAAGTTGACTATATACACTACGAATATTCTGAAATATTATTAGCATGTAAATCAGCTGTTTTCTATGTGAATATATAGTAAAGTGTAATTTATTCCTGTGATCAAAGCTGAATTTTCAGCATCATTACTTATGATTATTATCAGTGTTGAAAACAGTTGTGGAAGCTGTGATCCATTTTATTTTTCAGGATTGTTTGATGAATGGAAAGCTCAAAAGAACAGCGTTTATTTGAAATAGAATAATTTGTAACATTATAAATTTCTATACTGTCACGTCACTTTTAATCAATTGTTCGATTGATTTTGACCAATTGATTGGTCGATTTGGACCAAAAAACCCAAAACAAAAACCTGATAATATTGCCCTCATCACGTATCAGTCGCCTATACTGTGAGATACAGGATTATACAGAAACATACACAAATCACACGCAGTTCAAACGTGCTGTTTTCCACCTCATCGATGACTTCATGTATTCAGCCGGATTCCTTTATAAATCAAGCCAGTTTATTTAGACACGTTTACAAAGCATTTTTCCAGCGTACACACTCCTTCACATGCCAGCTTCCACTGATAGTGTATAAACAGCTTCATATGAAAATGCTCTATATAGTTGACAACGGTATGAAAACAATTAAAAGATTAAAATATGCAGTATATGGCAGAAATCGCATCCGAACACAGAACGTCTGCTAACGAAAGCACTGAAAGGCCATTGAAAAGAGCTCAAATCCTCATTCAAACCCTTTAAATGTGAATCTGCCCCTCGTCTGCAGTGAATGCCAGGATTAGGAATTATGTAAGAGTGCGGGAACATTGGAAACACCACAAATGATTGATCTAGCAGAAGCTTTTAGCGGGAACAGCAGGACGATACGGAGAGAAGGCGAGAGGAGTGAGTTTGAGGAGGGAGACAGGGAAATAAGGGGCTAATTTGAATTTACATCTGACACTTTGTGTTAATGGTGCCGGGCAACGAAAGAGAGAAGAAGAGAGAGAGAGAGAAGAGAGAAGAAGAAGAAGAGACAGAGAACAAGAAGAGAGAGAAGAAGACACACACACAGTTTGACAGCGCTCTCCCCTGTGTGGGAACAGATTGAGGTTTATTTGAGCATCATTAATGATGTGAGGACTGACGTGTTCCTGAAGTTTCCGTGACGTCATTATTGCTCCTTTCCCGCCGCGCGCTGATCCTGAGACGATTTGCATGTGCTTTCACTATAGTAACACATGTAACGTGTGCTTTCACTATAGTAACACATGTAACGTGTGCTTTCACTATAGTAACACATGTAACGTGTGGACGTGTGCTTTCACTATAGTAACACATGTAACGTGTGCTTTCACTATAGTAACACATGTAACGTGTGCTTTCACTATAGTAACACATGTAACGTGTGGACGTGTGCTTTCACTATAGTAACACATGTAACGTGTGGACGTGTGCTTTCACTATAGTAACACATGTAACGTGTGCTTTCACTATAGTAACACATGTAACGTGTGCTTTCACTATAGTAACACATGTAACGTGTGGACGTGTGCTTTCACTATAGTAACACATGTAACGTGTGCTTTCACTATAGTAACACATGTAACGTGTGCTTTCACTATAGTAACACATGTAACGTGTGGACGTGTGCTTTCACTATAGTAACACATGTAACGTGTGCTTTCACTATAGTAACACATGTAACGTGTGCTTTCACTATAGTAACACATGTAACGTGTGCTTTCACTATAGTAACACATGTAACGTGTGCTTTCACTATAGTAACACATGTAACGTGTGGACGTGTGCTTTCACTATAGTAACACATGTAACGTGTGCTTTCACTATAGTAAAACATGTAACGTGTGGACGTGTGCTTTCACTATAGTAACACATGTAACGTGTGGACGTGTGCTTTCACTATAGTAACACATGTAACGTGTGCTTTCACTATAGTAAAACATGTAACGTGTGGACATGTGCTTTCACTATAGTAAAACATGTAACGTGTGGACGTGTGCTTTCACTATAGTAAAACATGTAACGTGTGGACGTGTGCTTTCACTATAGTAACACATGTAACGTGTGGACGTGTGCTTTCACTATAGTAACACATGTAACGTGTGCTTTCACTATAGTAAAACATGTAACGTGTGGACATGTGCTTTCACTATAGTAACACATGTAACGTGTGCTTTCACTATAGTAAAACATGTAACGTGTGGACGTGTGCTTTCACTATAGTAACACATGTAACGTGTGGACGTGTGCTTTCACTATAGTAACACATGTAACGTGTGCTTTCACTATAGTAACACATGTAACGTGTGGACATGTGCTTTCACTATAGTAACACATGTAACGTGTGCTTTCACTATAGTAAAACATGTAACGTGTGGACGTGTGCTTTCACTATAGTAACACATGTAACGTGTGGACGTGTGCTTTCACTATAGTAACACATGTAACGTGTGCTTTCACTATAGTAACACATGTAACGTGTGCTTTCACTATAGTAAAACATGTAACGTGTGGACGTGTGCTTTCACTATAGTAACACATGTAACGTGTGGACGTGTGCTTTCACTATAGTAACACATGTAACGTGTGGACGTGTGCTTTCACTATAGTAACACATGTAACGTGTGCTTTCACTATAGTAACACATGTAACGTGTGGACGTGTGCTTTCACTATAGTAACACATGTAACGTGTGCTTTCACTATAGTAACACATGTAACGTGTGCTTTCACTATAGTAACACATGTAACGTGTGGACGTGTGCTTTCACTATAGTAACACATGTAACGTGTGCTTTCACTATAGTAACACATGTAACGTGTGGACGTGTGCTTTCACTATAGTAACACATGTAACGTGTGCTTTCACTATAGTAACACATGTAACGTGTGCTTTCACTATAGTAACACATGTAACGTGTGCTTTCACTATAGTAACACATGTAACGTGTGCTTTCACTATAGTAACACATGTAACGTGTGCTTTCACTATAGTAACACATGTAACGTGTGCTTTCACTATAGTAACACATGTAACGTGTGCTTTCACTATAGTAACACATGTAACCTGTGGATGGCCATGTGTGTGTCGATGTGCTTCTGCTGTCCGCGGGTTTGGTGTGTGTGACGGCAGAAACAGCGATCAGGTGCCGGTGGGAGTAAAAGATGGACAGTTTTTACGACGTTCCTTTTGTGCGCTCGGATGCATCAATGATCAAACACTCTTAAAGAAAACCAACAGAAGCAGAATAACAGAGCAGACAAATATTAATCTAGCATTATCTCCCACAAAAACACAATTATATATCGCATCCATAAATGAAAACAAAACAGTTTCTCCTGTCTACTGTGTGGATGTGATGCGCTACTGTTAGTTTAGACGGAGAACTGACTGACTAATCAGGAAATTCAAATGTGGAAATCTTGATGTTTATTTCCTTTGACACTTGATCATTATGAAAAAATCATCAGTGTCAATATTAGTTTGTTTGTGTGTGTGTGTGTCTGTGTGCAGTGAAAGATTTGAAGTGCTCGTCAACCTTAAAGGGGATACTATTTATCCATCCATCCATTCATCCATTTATCTTTCATTCTATCGTTCTTTTGTTCTCTCTTTCCATCCATCCATCCTTTCATCTATCGTTCTTTTGTTCTCTCTTTCCATCCATCCATCCTTTCATCTATCGTTCTATTGTTCTCTCTTTCCATCCACCCATCCATCCATATAATGTTGGTAAAGTTTATTTGTGCCGTAAAGACAAGTTTTGCACAGTCATGGGAAGCCTGAAAGTTATACATATGTGATTTCAAGGCCTGAAAAAGTCATGGAAATGAATAAAATATTAAATAATTAATGAAAATTCTTGTAGTGAATATTTTTTTCTAGTCATGCTCAGCTTAATGCTCATATATATTTCTGATAAAAAATTGTGATGCTTAAAATTTCCTTATGTATGTATATATGTATTAATGTTTTAAAGCTTATTTTTTATATTCTTAATTATGTATGTCTTATTTTAATATTTCATATTTTTATATTAATGAATAAAATGTTGATTTTTACCCGGATTTGCCTGGTATTAAAGAATCTTATCTTATCTTCCGCAGCTCTCGAGGTCCACGTCCCAGAATCCCCTGTGGTGTCTCGGTTTGGGATGGACACAGTCCTGAACTGCTCTTTCTCCGGGGTCTCAGAGTTTAACCTGTCGGACCTGAGTGTGTTCTGGCAGCTGTCGGACACCAAGCGCACCGTACACAGTTATTGGCTGAGCCGGGATCAGCTGACCGACCAAGACGAGCGGTTCTCCAACCGCACCAGCCTGTTCCCCGGTCAGCTGAGGTTCGGGAACGCCTCGCTCCTGCTGAAGAACGTGCGCGTCGCGGACGAGGGAAGTTACTCGTGTTTCGTCAGAGTCGAGGCGTACAGCAGCGGAGCCATGCTAATGCAAGTCGCAGGTAATCAACCAATCAGAGAAGAGGACCGGCGATCACACAGGAAGTGAAGCTCTCCTGTGAAAAGGGAATGTTGGGAAGCCTGACATACAAGCTTAATTACTAATTAATTACATATAGATGAATGTTAGTGTTGTCTTTAAGTTAAGCTCTGTCGACAGCATTTGTAGCGATTCAAAAACTTTTAATAGTTTTTAAAGCAAAAATCCCTCTTACAGTAACTCACTCCAGGTCATATTTTTTGTTATATTACGCAACTACATGTACTTACTATAGGGTTATGGTGGGATTAGGATTTAGTTGCATGTAATTATGCATAATTTACTGTTATTACTATGCTAAGTACATGTAACATGTGTAACAAGGACACTGTAAAATAAAGCGTTACCCTTGTTTTTTATAAAATAATTTTGTGGGCAGGTTGTTATGTGTTATATACGTAATAAAAAGCCTAAATTAAATATTTTTAATTCAATAATCATGTCTTCAGAAGACTTTGATTAATCCGCTTGTTTACTTACGTTTTGTGAATGGACATTCGCTGGAGGGAAATAAATAAACACAAAGTTCTTTGTTTGAGTTTCGAAGATGAACAAAAGTCTTATGAGTTTGTAACAATATTGTGTTATATACAGTATATATAAATTAAACGAATCAAACTCAAATTATACTAAAATAACACTGCTTTGTGGTATTAACCTTTCAAAACACATTTTCTCTGAGGGTTTTATTGAAAATCAGCACAGCACGCTAATTAAGACACCAAAAAAAAATCAAATGTGCTAATTAATGTGCAAAATAAATAAGAAAAATCTAAAACTAGTTAACCTCACTAATTGAATAGTCGTTTGTTGGTGAATTGTTTCTGCAAGCGCCTCATTTTCTTGAATAAACTGAGGGCCAAGTTAAAACTATTTTCTGTGATGATTGACATAATGCCACGAATGCCATCAATAGAGCTTAACTTGCACTGACTCCATGCGTTACTCTAATCTAGAAAATCGACTGTCTGCAAAATCAATATAATCCATATCATCCATATGAGACTACAGTCAGATATATGAAAGCTGAAATATCATCTATATCATAAAGAAGAAGGCCTCAGCGAACGGATACTAGATATCAAAGCATTATTATGCACTGTATACTTTACGTAATGTGTGTTATTATGCACAGTACATCACTTATGGATATTGCAGGCGTGTTGTGTGATTGATATTTATGCACATCTTGATTATTGGCCATAAAATGCTTAGTGCTTTTGCAAAGGCCCAATAAAGACCACAATCATTTATATGCGATTCTCACAATGACCCTGATCAATATACAGTCATATCGATTGTTAGGATTTCATGTGATTGATGGTACGCGTCCTGCAATCCCTGGAGAACGTGCTCAACTGTAGCCGCCTATATGTGTTATTATTTTTATGGCTGAGTGCACTCCGACTTACCGGGGTACATCATTATTTATGATCTATAGATGGCATTTTCCCATTCTCCTCTCTCAGTCTCTCTCGCCGTTCTCTCTCCATGCATTGAATTAAGTAATATTAATGCTCGGAGACGCACCACTCCTGTCTGCTTCTGCACGTCTAATGAAGATTAAACCAAAGCAATCCTGTCATGTTCAGTGTTGAACATTATAACCTTTCCTGTTTATTAGCAGTATTATTTTGAGCTCGAATAAGGCTGCGACCGATTCTTCTTCAGGAGATTTTCAATTAACATCACACAAATTTGTCATCTGTAATTATGATGGGTTTATATGACACTTAAAGGCCTTACTCACCCTCGTGTTGTTCCAAAACTGTTTCTTCCAAAAGAAAAAGACGAGATATGATAAGATTATGAACATAAGAAACATAAAATTTAACATAAACCTGAATGTGACTTCGGTTACAACATCAATACGACGTTGTCAACCTTTTTCGGGGCCTTATAGAGTAGAAAATGTTGCAATGTTACCCTTATAATTAACAGTGATAAAACCCAAAGTTAATGTGTCTGGGAGTAATGAACTCAATAGCATATGAACTATGATTAGCATTGTTGTATTGATGCAAATGGTCCCAATCTGTAAATATGCTCTTTTCAATAATACTACATTATCTGGAAAATTCTGGAGTCAAACATAAGTTGTTGAGAGATTTAAAAAAAAGTATATATATTATATTTGTCACGATGTGGTTTTGTGTCTTGTCATGTTTAGTGGTTCCCTGTCTTGTCCATTAGTTCTCCCAGGTGTTTCTTGTTATCCACGCCCCCTTGTTATCCTGTCTAGCTCGTTTGTCCCGGATTATTTAAGCCCTGTGTTTTTGCCCTGGCCTGGTGAGTTGTTGAATGTTTGAAGTTAGTTTCTGAGTCCTTGTATCCTGGTCCTGTCTGAGTTCGTCACCTGTTTAATAAAGCCACACTGCATTTGGATCCAGCCTCTTCTCAGCTTCATCGCACCCCGTTACAATATTATCCGTTGTACATTTATTTTTTATATTCAATATTTATTTTTGTATTTGAAAAGGGACGACCATAAACCATTTTTACCATAATTGTTTCCATTTAATGCATTGTACCGGATTTATCCACAGTCTCTTGGCAGGTCACCACCAACAAACATCCTTTAAATGAAAAAATAACAATTTTATGAATTTGCACTTACATTAGTTTGAAGAAGAACAGCACAATATGTATAATATTCAGTCAAACGGACAGCAGCAAGAGGTTACATCATCACTGTCCGCTTCTCGGCGACATCTGACTTAATTAAACAAGAATTTTGAACCTGACTTTATCCAATGTTCAGCTTTTTGTTCTAGAAATGTATGCAAATGAGTGCATATGTAATTAGATAATGTATAATTTGCAAATAAAATGAAATAAAATTTCAGAAAACTGTTTTTTTTTGTTGCAATTATTGTTGTAATCAATTAACTGGTGAAGTATGGTGATATGCATTCGGTTTTTTTCCCTATTCATTTTTTACCCTATTCACCGGGGGTGTCTTGCCTTAAGAAGAAACAGCACAATATGTATAATCTTCAGTCAGACGGACAGCAGAAGAGGTTAGCATCACTGCCATCCGCGACCCCACAGCCGTCTGACAGCTTTCTCTCCCATCGTCCCAACGCACAACTTTTTTGCTTGCCGAATTATGATTGGCTGTGGGAATAAGGCTCCCTCCATGAAGCTGCTCAAGGGACGGTAGTGCAATAATTTCTTCATCTGCCAACGAGTACGAACCCCCAACAAAACACTGTACGAGCGGCCGATTCCCCAGAAGCGCTGTGGTTTCACTTCCCTGTTGACGGAGACGGGCTTCTCTCGTAGATGAGCGTGTGTTTCTGTCGGATGTTGAGTCATGTGTGTTTAATGCTAAGCTCCTAGAATGTTATTAACAATTTAATGGAAATCATGTCAAGCCGGTCCCAAGGTTCGTCAGCGTTCTCCTTCTGCTTTACTGTACGTCACCACACTGCAAACTCACCGTTCTGACATTGAAATAAGGCATTCGCGAGATTCCTGCAAAGCCGAGGAGTTTCTATAAATGTATTTTTGTCTTTAGAAAAGTTTAGATAGTATTTTAATTTCATCCGTCTCCGTGTGATGCCTAATACAGCGATGTTTACAGGGTTCACCGCTGTATTTCTGCTGTTCCATAAGCAGCTGTAAAACCAATGTAAAAACGTTTTTAATAGTTTTAGTTAATGGATTCGTTCACTTCCGAATTAAAATCTCCTGATAATGTACTCTCCTCCACGTCATCCAAGATGTTCACGTCTCTCTTTCTTCAGTGGGAAAGAAATGAAGGTTTTTGAGGAACACACTCCAGGGTTTCTCCATATAGTGTCTTCAATGGGGTCCAACGGGTCGAAGGTCCAGATGTGAGTTTCAGTGCAGCTTCAAAGTCTCGACACGATCCAGCCGAGGAGTAAGAGTCTGATCTAGACAAACCAGCCGACATTTATAACAAAATACACATTTATATACTTTTAACCACAAATGCTCGTCTTGCACTAGCTGTGATGCGACACACATTACGTCATCAGGGTGAAAGGTCAAGCGTGACGTAGGCGTAAGAACGGCCCCAGCCCCAAAGCGAACGTGCAAAGAATGAGTCAAACACCATTTACAAAAATAAATAAATGAATAAAATGTAAACCAACGATGTTGGACGATTTTGAGTAGAAAATGAGATTGAGTTTTTCGCCCTACCCTAATCTTTCCGCCTACGACGCCTGACCTTTCCAACGTGATCACGTGGATGTGCAAGACGAGCATTTGTGGTTAAAAATGTTTATTTTGTTATAAATGTCGGCTGGTTTGTCTAGATCAGACTCTTATTCCTCGGCTGGATCGTGTCGAGACTTTGAAGCTGCACTGAAACTCACATCTGGACCTTCGACCCGTTGGACCCCATTGAAGTCACTATATGGAGAAACCCTGGAGTGTGTTCCTCAAAAAACCTTCATTTCTTTCCCACTGAAGAATATAATGATAATGATAATAACCCTCCTCCAGACCTCTGGTCCAGAGTTATACACCACTGGTCCAGGCTTAGAGGCCGTTTACACAACACCGTTTATAACTAAAAACGTAAAACTTTGTATGTGTTTTGGCCGTTTATTTACACGACAGCGGCATTTTGGGTGCCTGAAGACGCAAAGTTTTGAAAACGGTCTCCGTGTAAACAACAAAAACTTGAATCTCTGAAGACAATGACGTCATGCTCATATTACGTGTTCAGTCTATAGTGTTTCATCGCCATCTAGTGGCCTGGCACAATACAGCGTTTTTTAGTCGTTTTTGCAGATCCGTGAGAATGAGGATTGTTTTGACAATGGTGTCGTCTGTACGTGGAAAACTCAAAGAGAAAACGTCTCCGTTTTAAGCATATCGTTGTCGTGTAAATGTACCCTTAAGGCTCGTACACACCGGGATGAATATCGGCGCGCGTTATTCGCCAGCGTTTTACAACGCGTTTTTTGTGTTCACACCCAAGCGATTTTCGCTGACGATGAGCCGAGTGAACATGCAAATTCATTCCCTGACATTAGATGGCGCCCATTTGCTCTGCAATACCACTCCATAACATTCTCTTTTATTAAGATTTAGATGTAGTCGCTGTCGGGTTTGTCGCGTTTGTTCCGACACCAACGACACCAGCGGCTCTACATTCAACTTGCCTCGCATCTTCCTCGTCTTATTTCTTCCCGGCAGTGTAGGCGCTACTTGGCGTATATCTTCTTCGCCGTTGCGTATGTGTGCTCGGCAAGACCGTTTTGTGTTTGAGCGCCCCCAAGTTGTGTTTTACTGTAACTTCAGAAGCTCCAGACACGTGAGCAAAAGCGCCAATCTCATTGGTCGGATAGTTTTTGACGCGGCGCGTCAAACTAAAAAAACGAACCCGAGGCGTTTTTAAAAAAATGACGCTTTTACGTGTGGCGTTTTCCGCGTCGGTGTGCACACTCACATTGGCGCCCTTTGTTTAGTCACGAGGCGTTAAACGTCGGCGAATATCGCGCGTGAAATTCGTCCTGGTGTGAACAGGCCTTTATACACAGTAACTCATCCTCTCTCGCTCTCTCTCTCTCTCTCCAGCGCCGTTCTCCAAACCCCTGGTCACCTGGGGCAGCGAGTCCCACCTGAAGCCCGGTGACGCGGTGGCCCTCACCTGTGTGGCGTACGGGGGGTATCCCGAGGCGCAGGTGCTCTGGCAGGACGGCGCGGGGCAAAACCTCACGGACAACGTTACCGTCTCGCAAGTAGCGAACGAGGAGGGTTTGTTCAGTGTGAAGAGCGTCCTGACCGTCATACTGGAGCCCGACAGCACTTACAACTGCAGACTGACCAATCCACTGCTGGGAGACGAAGCGCACGCATCGGTTACCATCACGGGTGAGTCGCTGAGGTCATGTGTAACCAAACCAAAAGGTCATTTTCACAAGCTTTTTGCACGCTTGATTCTGTCGACTTCCCAAACCTCCACAAAAATGTATCATCTGTAATCATTATATTCTTTTATAAATCGATTAGTTCCAGTCCTTGATTCTGATTGGTCAATAGCTGTGCTTTATACACGATAAAACATGGCTATGACCGCTTCACCCAACGGTTCCATGTATCACTACACAACACCCCTAGCAACCACTCTTAGCAACGTAAACATATTTTTTGTTCTCATTGATATTGTTCGTTGAAGCTTATAGAGTATTGTGAGAGATCGAGTAAGTGAAGCGAGTGTACCTGCCTTTAGATATAGCATTGTCCTTCAGGCCAGTCCTATATTCGGAATAAAAAATCTTTTTGAATGTCTGCTTCGATATCTTGTCCTTTTAACAGTTATGGGGTTTTCCCGTGTCCGACACGCTAGTCATTCTTCTCTACTGACGGACTCACTCATAAAGACAGACTTTGTCTCCATCTATCAGCTAAATAATAACCTCTGTTGCTGTTCACGGTCACGGACTATTTTTTCCAGCGGAAGGAAGGCTTTTAGTGATTTTACTTCATGAAAGTTGCATTGATACATATTTTTCGGCTTTAATATTTGTATTGTGTGGTAACCGTTTTATAAAAGCATTAAGGTACTCTCGTAGCTTACTTATGGTTTTATACAATACCTAAAGGGATTGTTCACCCAGAATATGGATTATATACATGTCCTCATGTCGTTGTATAACTATGCATACGGACATCTCACCTTCTGTTGTTTAGTAGAATGGTTTTTCCATTGGGAAAAAGTTATTCTCACACAAATCTACATATGGCTTCAGAAGACTTGGGATATAGTGTTTAAACTGCTGTTTTAAGTTCATCACTAAGGAAAAGTGCAGCTTGGACATTCTGCTAAATATCTTCTTTTGTGTTCCATGCAAAGGTAAAGGTTATAGGTCATGCTGTCATTTTTGGGTGGACTGTCCCTTTAAAATCCAATGAACAGCTCTGCCAAATCCATGGCGAGAAAATAATAACTCGGTCAATTATGGTCCGATAGGCATCACGTCAGTTTGCTCCCTTTCTTCAATGAGAAAGTGGATGATTATTTCACTTCTTTGAAATAGGAATGGTTTTGAGCTAATAGGTAAAGTCAGTTGGGAAGAGCTTACAGCATTGCACTGCATTTCAGCCTGTGTCTTGTTAAGCAGTCTCAGATGATATTTAATGTATAGTTATGAGGAAGGATCAGGTTTTTGTACAGTGAGTGATGCTGACGAATGAAGGTCAGATTCTGCGTTAATCTCAGCAGCTGCGAGTGAAAAGGCTGTACGTGGATCATCCTGACTACAATAGCCTTACAACTTGTTAGTAAACAAGCGCCAGAATCCGTGCGCGCGCTGAGTGATCATACCGACCTTGTTTGATATGAAAATGCATTTGCATTTGTTTACAACAGCTGCTGTATGGTCAACAACTTTGGTGATTAATATTGACCCAGCCGAGATAGATGCCGTTTGCCTGGTTGTTTTTCTATTGCAACCGGGATTCGCTTTGAAACAAAATGCTCCACATTTAGATATGGTCAGACTTTGATCAGACACATTGATTCATTTCTGGAGTAAAGGCAGCGATATGCAACCATTATAAGTTACTTTACAAGGCATAATTAAAAATATTTGGTTACACTTTATTTTAAGGTGTCAGTGTTACAGTGTAATTATATATTTAAGTACTGAGTAATATTAATCAACTACATGTATTTAATATAGGATTAGGGTTTGGTTGAGGGTTATTTGCATGCAATTATGCATAATTTACTGTTATTACTATAGTAACTACGTATATGTAAGTAACAAGGACACTGTAAAATAAAGTGTTACCAAATATTATATGATGCATTATATAAAAAGTCTTTAAGTAAATTGTTACAGTGTATTTTAAAGCAATTGGCCTGTTAAAACTTTTGAAAATATGCTTTTTGGTGACATTAGTGGCACAGAAATTAAACTTAAAAGTACACATTGAATTATTCCATTATTTAATAGTTATTGCATAGTGAAACTTGTACTGTTGTGCGGAGGCTGAACTACCATTTCCAGTCATTTGTGGGGAAAAAAGTTACTAAATAGGGAATAAATCCAATGTATTTTAGTCAGAGCTCAGAATGTCTTTCTAAGTGAGGCATTTAGGACTTCTATCACTGAAGAGAGGAAGATCTGTTTAGTATTCAAAGAGCCTTTCTCCGGAAGAGCATGCTGAGGACAAGACCTGTTAAAATGTCACACTTCGCTCCAAATTCCCAATGAAAAATTACAAAGTAATGCAGACGTGCCCTAAAATGAATGAGAATGATAGAAAAAAGAGGAGTGGAAAAAGATGTCCATCATAAACTGTGTCAAGGTTCAGAAAGAGAAAATGAACTGCAGGAGGGGATCGGTCTGACCGGGAGCCATTGAACGAGGTCAGAGAAACTTCATCTCCATCTCAATTAGCCACAACGTAATTCATCAATTAGCTTCTGTCATTCCACTTAAACTGCTCGTTTAATCCACTGAGCTTTTATGGAGATGTTTATTCATTGCAGAGAGCATATACTCTATATGTGCAAATGTGAAAATGTAGAAAAAAAGAAAAAGAAAAAAAAATGCATGCATATATATATATATATATATATATATATATATACTGTATATATATATATATATATATTTTTTTTTTAATTGATTCATATTTTTAATGTACAAATGTAAAATGTAAAAATAAGGAAAAAAATTAAATAAATAAAATAAAATTTTGTATAGAATTATGAATATATGTTAAAAAAGTGTGTTTATATATATATATATATATATATATTATACAATTTTCTAGACTTTATATATATATATATATATATATATATATATATAAGCATTTTTTCTGTTTACATTTCTATTAAAACAAATCGAAAATAAACATGTTTTTTATAAAAATATTGCAGAATCATTTTAATTTTACTTCATGTCAATTCCTCCTCAGACTTTACGCCCCCACTGATGGATAGACTCAAAATCTGTTTTTAATCATAATTGATCTGAACGTTAAGTTTTGTTGATATATAATGCAGTAATTAACTAGAAAGATTAAAAACGGCAGACCTCTGACCAATAAAAAGAGCTGATGACAGACGGCAATCGCATCATTTTCTACATCATCGACTGCACTGTAATTTTCTACATGCCTTGATGAGAGCAGCTGAATATTCCTCCCTTTGCACAGATTCAGCTGTAAGAGCGCAGATACAGTAAGATTGCAGATACTGTAAGAGCGCAGATACAGTAAGATTGCAGATACAGTAAGATTGCAGATACTGTAAGAGCGCAGATACAGTAAGATTGCAGATACAGTAAGAGTGCAGATACAGTAAGATTGCAGATACAGTAAGAGTGCAGATACTGAAAGAGAGCAGATACAGTAAGATTGCAGATACTGTAAGAGCGCAGATACAGTAAGATTGCAGATACAGTAAGAGTGCAGATACAGTAAGATTGCAGATACAGTAAGAGTGCAGATACAGTAAGAGTGCAGATACAGTAAGATAGCAGATACTGTAAGATTGTAGAGACTGTAAGAGTGCAGATACTGTAAGAGAGCAGATACAGTAAGAGCGCAGATACAGTAAGAGTGCAGATACTATAAGAGAGCAGATACAGTAAGAGTGCAGATACAGTAAGAGTGCAGATACAGTAAGAGTGCAGAGACTGTAAGAGAGCAGATACAGTAAGAGTGCAGATACAGTAAGAGTGCAGATACTGTAAGAGTGCAGATACTGTAAGAGAGCAGATACAGTAAGAGTGCAGATACAGTAAGAGTGCAGATACAGTAAGAGTGCAGATACTGTAAGAGTGCAGATACAGTAAGAGTGCAGATACAGTAAGAGTGCAGATACTGTAAGAGTGCAGATACTGTAAGAGTGCAGATACAGTAAGAGTTCGGATACAGTAAGAGTGCGGATACTGTAAGAGTGCGGATACAGTAAGAGAGCGGATACAGTAAGAGTGCGGATACAGTAAGAGTGCGGATACTGTAAGAGTGCGGATACAGTAAGAGTGCGGATACAGTAAGAGAGCAGATACAGTAAGAGAGCAGATACAGTAAGAGTGCAGATACAGTAAGAGAGCAGATACAGTAAGAGTGCAGATACTGTAAGAGTGCAGATACAGTAAGAGTGCAGAAACTGTAAGAGTGCAGATACAGTAAGAGTGCAGATACAGTAAGAGAGCAGATACAGTAAGAGTGCAGATACAGTAAGAGTGCAGATACTGTAAGAGTGCAGATACTGTAAGAGAGCAGATACAATAAGAGTGCAGATACTGTAAGAGTGCAGATACAGTAAGAGAGCAGATACAGTAATAGTGCAGATACAGTAAGAGAGCAGATACAGTAAGAGTGCAGATACTGTAAGAGTGCAGATACTGTAAGAGTGCAGATACAGTAAGAGTGCAGAAACTGTAAGAGTGCAGATACAGTAAGAGTGCAGATACAGTAAGAGAGCAGATACAGTAAGAGTGCAGATACAGTAAGAGTGCAGATACTGTAAGAGTGCAGATACTGTAAGAGAGCAGATACAGTAAGAGTGCAGATACTGTAAGAGAGCAGATACTGTAAGAGAGCAGATACAGTAAGAGTGCAGATACAGTAAGAGCAGATACAGTAAGAGTGCAGATACAGTAAGAGTGCAGATACTGTAAGAGAGCAGATACAGTAAGAGTGCAGATACAGTAAGAGAGCAGATACAGTAAGAGTGCAGATACTGTAAGAGTGCAGATACAGTAAGAGTGCAGATACAGTAAGAGTGCAGATACTGTAAGAGTGCAGATACAGTAAGAGTGCAGATACTGTAAGAGCGCAGATACAGTAAGAGCGCAGATACAGTAAGAGCGCAGATACAGTAAGAGCGCAGATACTGTAAGAGCGCA